TGTCATCATTAATTAACAGAAAGCTCTAATATTAATGAAGCTTTGACGCGGTTTATGGAAATCAAGTAAACACAATGATGAATATAATTACCCGAATGTACCTAACTAATTCGGTTATTGTGCGAACTGATTGGTAACATTCCAATCAGGACACGATTAAATTGTAACTGTAACTAGATTTGACGTTTACCAGTCGAATAGTAGTTGTAAATTCAATGGATGTTGTAAATGTGGAAACGACATCATCATTATCATTTTAACCGTTATCCGTCCACTGCTGGACATAGGCATCCCTTATAGACTGTCATAAGGAACGGTTCTGAGTCACCTGCATTTATCGAAACTCTAAAATACATTTGAGTTCATCACTCCATCTAGCGTCCCTCGCAGCAGCGTCCCTCTTAAAACATCTCTAAAGCCTAAAAACGGTTGCCAATCCGCCTGCCAAGCATGGCAACTACTAGAGGCTAATGTATAGCAGCGAACTATTAAGGGCTAATATGATAATGAAACCATACAAGAGAAAATAATTCATGCGCCATTTTATTCAGATGACGTCTCCGAGTTGCCGCCAATTCGTTAGTGTTGCCAACTTATTCCGCTGTTTACCAAACTTTCGGCGTTCCGTCAAACATTAATTACCTTTGTCTAAGGTTTGGGGATTTAATTAAGTTGACAGCTTTTGGAAAAAGGCATTAAATAATTATGGTAGATGTTTTAACAGAAAGTGACAAAGTTATAGATTAAAAAAGTCTTTGATTACTAAGAAGCATGATTTCTTCATATAAGAAATTAGAATATATAATTTGATGTAAATAAGTAAATAACGTGTATGCCAATAAAATACTAATAAAAACAAAATGCAGTGATCAATTATTTATTTACAATAAATATATAATACATGTACTAAGTATGGTAAAATGGTATGTACTCGTATGTATGTAAATAAGTTTTATTTATTTATTTTTTGTTATTGACAATTCTTTTTCTTTATACAGGATTTTACAATTCTATTATTTGTTTTCTTCTATTGTAGTAAAAATTTAGTTGACAAATAAAATAAATTGTGTAAACACAAATTTGCTACGACAAAATATTTAAATTCCGTACCAATCCGCCTTCCTTGAGGTTCCGAAATTCTTACTTGGCGGAGTATTGGAAATTTCGATGTTGTGTCTAAAAAGATCCTACAATTCAGTTAAGGTATTGTTTGATATTGTTTGGATATATTGTACACTTTTAGAACTTAAATATGCTATTAAGAATAGGGAATAATAAAGATTACCAGAGGGAGACTTTGTACAAAAGTCGATTGCTTGGATACCTCTGTCCCATTCGTGTATCTACCGTGAAGCAGTTGTGTTTGCATGGTTGTGTTTCGGTTTGAAGGGTGGGATATGGCGTGAATTTACAGGGTACAGAGTAGTAACACCCGAGTCCTCAGGAATGGCAATGCATGGGGGTATCATGGGCGAAACAGTATACTCTGTTATGTCCATGGTACTGCTCATGTCTATAGGCGACGGTTACCACTTTCCATCAGGTGGGCCGTCAGCTTGTTTGCCATTATAAGTTGTATAAAAAAAAAAACTTTAAAAATATGAAACAGTTATAAAAAAAATTATTCATATATATTTATTCGTTTATATATGTAATTTTAGTATGTATGTATATCAATAATTAGTAGTACCGCATTCGAGTATTCTGACACTTCCCCATGGTTAACTTGGAGAGAATGCTTTTAGCATTAAGTCCGCCATGTACACATATTTGTACTAATGAATAAATAAATAAATCCTTAAAAATATAAAGGCTGTATGGGTATGATACTTTTGCATTATTACACGTTTATTTTTTCTAACTATGTATATCAGCGTAGGCGTACACATCATTTATATGAAAGCACGTATGCAATATCTTTTTTATTAAAAACAACAGAAAGATATTCGGCAACAGTCGACAAATACCATTGACTATCCTATTTTTGGTTTTAATCGTGCGTACCGTATATTTTAATTTTTTTTTTATATACAACTTAAGCAATGGCAAACAAGCTGACGGCCCGCCTGATGGAAAGTGGTAACCGTCGCCTATAGACATGAGTAGTACCATGGACATAACAGAGTATACTATTTCACCCATGATACCCCCCATGCGTTGCCATTCCTGAGGACTCAGGTGTTATTCCTCTGTACCCAGTAAATTCACGCCATGAAAGAATGAAAGGAAAAGAAAGAAAGGAAAGAAAGGAAAGAATATCAAATTAATGATATTCTTTCCTTTTAATAAAAAAGCATGGGTATTGATATATCAAAAGAAATAAATAGATATAATTTTTATACACCTATATATTATATATTAGAAGATTTAAACATGCGATTTCCCATCCTATATTCAGTAATCCTAAGTACTACTACTTATACTGTAATAGATAAAATGTAATAGAAAATTATAACAATACTTGAGCTCCCTTAGTTACGAAGAAACGAAAAATATAGTGGAAATAAAACAGTTTAACGACAATATGCACTTATTTACTACAATACGCACACATAAAACGCACACACCTAAGAACGCATGCACGCACGCACGCACGCATACACGCGTCCTTGCGCACACATACATATACACATACACACACATACATACACGTAGACACGCAGACAACAGGCACGAACACACATAAACACACACACACACAACACGCACACACATACGCACACAGTTTATTTTGTTTTGTATAGTCGTTTTCTTTAATTTAAATTGTAGCATTAATGCAAACTGTACAGTATGTCCGAGATAGGGGTCTGATTTTCTGAGATTTACCGATCTTTTACCTACTTTAGGTTCCAGTTTCCCACAAGTTTTACAGTATTATATATGCATTTATTATACTGTGGTAATATTAATACTTTTTTATTTTTTTTACAATTTAAATTACAATTTAAAATTTAAATATTTTTAAAATTATATTGTAGTACAAATGTCATATTTAGCATTTTATTTATTTATTTAATATTCCTCTCTTTGAACAGAACTAATTTAGAAAACAGACACGCCATGCTTTACGCTTCTATCTCTTTAATCTACATAGTCTTAAGAATAAACCCTCTGAAGTAGACGCGGCCACGATTACAAATGGCCTTGTCAGGTGGAAAATTATAATTTCAAAATTCAAGTACCCAATGATAATTTATAAGAAGAGCTCTCTTAGGGACCACGCTCAAATTCCAAAGTCCTTTTTAATACCAGGAATCAAATCCTTGTTAAATTTGATATTGCATTTATTTGTTTATTAATGTATCAATATTTAGAAGGCAAAGCTGTATGTACAATTGTAATTGTTTATATTTATAATAAGTTTACTATTGTAATCTTTTGGAGGAAGCAATAAAGAGTATCTATCTATCTATCTATCTACAGGATTAGTAGTAATGTTTTCTTTTTCTAATGGGACATTATGAAAAACTCCTCCTACGCTATCGGTATACACGCACACACGCACACACCCACGCACGCACGCATCCACGCACGCATGCATGCACGCATGCAAATCCATACAATATTTTTATATCAACGATATACTGTACTAGTTCGTACCTATCATAATCATATCAGCTGTTAACAGTCCACTGTTGAACATAGGCTTTCCCAATAGGGGAAAAGGGATTGTTAGTAATGGAGACTGAGAATCCCATTGCTAGCAATATACCCAACCAGATCAATCTCCTCGCGGTTTACCCTAGAAACTATCATGGCTAATTATTGATGAATTCATCATGATGGGCTAACTGGCCAGTTTTCATTCTCATCGATCACCCTTCATTGGTGCCCCGCCAGCGTACACCGTTATCGCAGGCAGGGTTGCCATTCCATTTTCATCCATCAAGAAAAATAGACTACCATAAAGAACAATCCCGAGCCAAAATCTAATACTACCTATAATCTTATATTGTCTGAGATACGGGCAATGTTAACTCCTTAAACTTAAAATTTACCAGCGTTTTAGTAAAATAAAGTAATTTCATTTCATAATATTTTAAACGTACAGCTGTAACTTTGAATCACGATACCATATCATCGGAATTGATCCAAAAAAGTGTTTATATACGTCACATATTCGAAAACACCATAGATATATATATCAGACACTAACAAAAATACACAAGTAGACTTGATTTATTTCTTTCGACAATACCCCCGAAGGTTCAATATCCCCGAAGCATGTTTACTAACGTTATTTTCTAAGTGAGTAAGGGTGTGTAAACAGGAAGCTTGGAAAATCAAAAGGTTTTTCGGCAAAAGGGCACTGTGTTGAAAGTATGGATTGGGAATCTTTCCGATATCTATTTAAAACTTAACGGATCAAAGTGAAGAGATTGGATTATACTGGTATGTTTGAACGTTAATGACATTTATAACGTGGTTTGCATTAAACAAAATTAGATACGACATACTAGACACAGCTTATGTCTAGTATGAACCCGCTTGCCAAACATGGCAACTACTGGTAAACCCCACAAGGAGGAGGCTTACGTTCAGCAGTGGACAGTTGAAGGCTGATATGATGATGAAGGTATTATAATTTCAAATTCTTTAAGTTGGTTGCTATCCGTATGTCTCTCCATAACGACCCTCTTCCACCAGAACGACTCGGTGCCAAATCTTATTTTTCCTTCGAGGAAAATGGTTGGCCAGTCTACAATTTAAGTAATCTTCATAGCTTAAAAGTTACATTGTTGGTTTAGGATCTAATATTTGATTCTTTTGACGAGTTCTGTTTAAAACAGTTATAATTTTGCAATATTTACCTCAAAATTCCAAAATGTAATGTTTGTAATGATGAAATTTTAATCAGCTAAGTAACTATAAAATATTTTAATTCACTAATGGATTGGATGTTTGATGGAAATATTTTGTAATTTAATGGCCAACAACGTTTGTGATTAATTCTAATTATGGATTTGTTTATAACACAAATTATTATTGGACATAAACGGTTGGATAACGTAATGTGCGGTAATACATTTAGCATTATATTGCTGTTATGTAAGTATTTAGGAGTTAGTTTTTACTTGCGACTTTGTTTGTGGGTATATATTGGCCACAACAGAATATCAGTGTTTTGCTCTTTTTAGGGCAAAGCAAAAAGCTGAGTTGTAGCCATTTTGTATTACTGTGGCACACGCATGAAGAAAAAGAAATTTTATTATGCATTCTGATTTTGTTTTGGGTTTTTTTTTTTAATCTTTTGTACATGTATCTTTTTTTATCTTTTTTCACTTTGCTTTTGTATCTTTTGCTGTTTGTGTACTATATATATATATATATATATATATATATATATATATATATATATATATATATATAGATTTATGAAAACAATCAATTTAAACTGGACAGTTTAAAGAAATTTGTTAAGTAGTTGAAATTTACACGAACTTACTTACTTTTGTATTTGTAACTAGCTGTATTCCGCTCTTCTCCCGCATTAATGGGCACACAAAGTGTCCTATGTGCTAAATTAGGATATAAGCTATCCGTGTAGGCAATTTTCATTCAAATCCGTACAGTAGTTTTTGTTATTATTTATTAATAGAAAATCAGCCGTTAACTGTCCGATGTTCAACATAGGCCTCCTCTATAAGAAGGATTTTGCCAGTCATTACCACGCTTATTTTTACCAGAGGGAGACTTTGTACAAAAATCGATTGCTTGGGTACCTCTGTCCCATTCGTGTTTCAACCGTGAAGCAGTTGTGTTTGCATAGCTGTGTTTCGGTTTGAAGGGTGGGATATGGCGTGAATTTACTGGGTACAGAGGAATAACACCTGAGTCCTTAGGAATGGCAACGCATGGGCGGTATCATGGGCGAAACAGTATACTCTGTTATGTCCATGGTACTGCTCATGTCTATAGGCGACGGTTACCACTTTCCATCAGATGGGTCGTCAGCTTGTTTGCCATTCTAAGTTGTATAAAAAAAAAACGCCTGGCAAGTGGATTGGCAACCGCAATTAGCCATTGTCGATGTTTCAAGAAGGACGCTACTATACATCTCTTGACCATTAAGTCCCCTTAGCCGCCTTCTACGACACTCACGGGAAAGGAAAGGGTGGTCCATTCTACGCCGGAACTACACTGTGTTTTTATCATAAAATATTATTTATTTATTTAAAATTCAATGCACAAATTTATAACTAAGTGTACATAATGGCGGACATAATACCTAATGGCGTTAATTATATTTGTAGGAATTTATTTTTTACAAAATAATATTTTGCAATAAAAACAAAGCAGGGCAGCTACAAGAATTTTAGATTTCACTCAAGTATTTTAAATTATATTTTAGTCCATTTAATAAATAATAATGTAATCACCATCCTAAAACCGCCTAATACTGCAAATTGCGACTTTACAATTTGCACAAAAACAACTTTCGACTTATAAAGTGTTTTTTATTTAAAGCAATTGAAATGGCGACCTCAAACCGCGGAGTTCAATGCAGTAAACGGTCTTTAGTGTCTAGACAAAATATATAAAATTATATATATACTAATAGCAATTAAAACTATTTCGAATAGTATTTAGTATTCTGGAATGTCACGAAAAATGGCATGAACTGCTGCAGAATTCTGTGATTTAAATGCTAAAGAGTTGAATAAAATATGATGCACTTACGGTATTCTAATAACTTTTTTTTATTTTATACCACTTAGAATGGCAAACGAGCTGACGGTCCACCTGATGGAAAGTGGTAACCGTCGCCTATATACATGAGCAGTAACTATATAGGGGTACAATTATCAGAAAAGTCTCTGTCTTTTTTCCTGCATGTATATAGATTAAAGACCGATTCAATACCGAAAACCGAAATATTCACCGATTGTATCTTATAATAAGATTTTTTTTATATAATGTTGATTTTAATAAACTAATTTAAACAAAATTCTTTTGTCTAACCCAAATTTTTTGTCTAAAAATTACTAAATATGACTATTATTAAATCTTATTATTATTATTATTAAAATTTACTAATACTATTATTTTATATTTATCTTCAATCGATTCAAATAGAAGGAGTTAATTCGGTTGTATATTTTTTAACAGTTTCATACCTCATAACTCCGTCAATTCTGAATCGATTTGGAAAATTCTCTTTTTATCTAAAAGGATATTCTTACAGATTAGTCTTATGGAAATTTTATCAAAATCGGTTTTGTAGTTTAGTTTTTAAATCAAAATAACTGTACCCTGTAAATTCACTGCTATATCCCACCCTTCAAACCGAAACACAGCCATGCAAACATTAATGTTTGTATAATGTAAAAATTTTAATTAATTAAAATTAAACTATTATCGTAATAAATGTAAACTATGGGTTTCAATAAAAAGATTTATTATTATTATATTATAATAGCATTTTAAAGTAAAATTAAATAAAGTAATTTTTATTGCAGGTTATATTTTATGTCAAGCACAAAATTTATTCGACATGAATGCTGATAATTTTTTTGATATTGTTATGAAAGAGGTAGAGCAAAATAAGAGAAGTAATAACTACAGTCTAGATCTTCCTCATAAAAATAATTTAGGAAATATTTCCGACTTCATAAATGATTCTAATGGAAATATTGTTATTACAAATGAAACTTTGAAAAACAATGCATTTCTAATAACCACTGAAGCAAATGTACATGTTGTAACACAACATAGTGTAGCTAAAAAAAAGATATCACAGTCTCTAATGAAAAAAATAAAAGCTAGAAAATTACAGAGAGAAATTAATAGGTTATTGGAAAAAAATAATACAATTCCAGATTTCAAGAATAATTACGATGACCCTTCAACTATAACTGAAAAGTTTGACAAAATTCAAGCAACACCGGTACAGAAGGCGGCACTGAGAGAGTATTACTTCGACCTCTTTAAAAGACCCACAGTTTTTAGGAAAAAGAAAAAGACGGTGATGCTGATGGAACAATACATTTATGCAACGAGATACAAACTGTCATACGTTCAGAAAATGAGAGATAAATACCGGAACGACGGGGAGTACAAAATCGGATTTTGTTTCGCGTTACTGAGGCATCTGAAGATGGAACAAATGCTGATATATAATGCTATACATAAAAATCAAAAGCTGGTCTCTAATGTATACTTTCACTTGAAACTGTATGAGAAAGCGCTTCGATTGGATGTGGATATAAAAGATTTAATAAATGTAATAAAGGATTTAGACCACAAGACTAAATCGAAGAAGGATTGAAAGTACAAAGAGGAATACTATCGATAAAGTGTATATGATAAAACATTGACTTTCTTTTAGCATAAACGTACAGCACGGTCTCAGCGATGTATTCTCCCATGAACTTTCAGGTTATGGAATGAATTCCCTGTCGCAATTTTCCAAAAGTCTACAAGATGGGGTTCTTGAAAATGGATTTATTAAGGTTTTTTCAGGGTCGGCAACGCACACGTGACAACCCTAGAATTGCAAGCATAGGCTACAGTGACCGTTTACTATCGGACGGGCTGTAAAAAAATCACCATTCCTTGTTTGAAGTTGATTGAAAAACCGTCTATATAGATGACAAAGCTACTATGTATGGTAGGTATGCAGTATATACACGGCTATTAAAAATCACAGTTTCGCTAAAAAAAACAACGACCGGAAAAAATAGTCGCAACAATAGCTCGGCGGCAAACGTTATTCGTCTATATTCGTTTGTACAGCCACGCCTAGGGTTGCCAATTCAATTAAAAATTATATTATATTTGCTTAGTCCACTAGTTTTGCTCTTAATTTATTTTGACCTCTATTTAATGGCAAAGTTCAAATCGGACGGTTTCTGTTCTATTCAAGTGACCTTTGTATCAATTATTTGTTTTTGTTTTATCCTACTGTCGAATATGGGAGAATAATATTCTTATTTATCATGTAAATATTGAAATACATTTAGAAATTTAACTTAAGGTGTACGACCTTAAACCACCCCTTCCTTTTTTGTGGGTGTCGTAAGAGGCGACTAAAAAAATTTAATGGTAAAGGGTGGAATACAGCGTTTCTCGTAAAATTAAAAAAGCACCAAAGCTTAACTGCGGTTGCCACACCACAGCCAAGCTTGGTAACTATTAGCAAAACCCCTTCTTATGGGAAAGGTCTACGTTCAGCAGGGGACATTTAACGGCTGATATAATAATAATAATTTACCAGAGGGAGACTTTGTACAAAAGTCGATTGTTTGAGTACCTCTGTCCCATTCGTGTTTCAACAGTGAAGCAGTTGTGTTTGCATGGCTGTGTTTCGGTTTGAAGGGTGGGATATGACGTGATTTTACTGGGTACAGAGGAATAACACCTGAGTCCTCAGGAATGGCAACGCATGGGGGGTATCATGGGCGAAACAGTATACTCTGTTATGTACATGGTACTGCTCATGTCTATAGGCGACGGTTACCACTTTCCATCAGGTGGGCGTCAGCTTGTTTGCCATTCTAAGTTGTATAAAAAAAAAAACACCTTAAACTGACTGGAGGGTAAGCGATTGTTAGTAATGGGGTCTAACAACCGTGTTACTAGCAATATACCCTAACAGGTCGACTACAACGCGGTTTCTCTTGGAAACTATCATGGTTAATTCTTGTGATATTCGTCACGATGGCCTAACTAACCTGCTTTCATCCTCACCTATCACCTCTCACTGGTACCCCGCCAGGGTATACCGATAGCGCAAGCAGGGTAACCATTCTAATTTTACTCATCAAAGAGTACCCTAACAGATCATTAAATTTACTTATAATTTTCAAACTTAATTTAGTTTTTTTTTTCTTTATTAATAATTCTATAATTAAGTATAATGAAAGTCGTTGAAAACTATGTTTAAGTGATATTTCAGATTGAAATTAATTGCCGACATATTATTATAAAATTAAGCGGAGCCAAGTTGTAAAAAAAGAGAGAAAGATTCAATAATTATATTATACTTTAAATAGTTCTAAAATTTGTATTCTCAAATAAATTGAAAGAAAGTTTACGTGCGTAAATTAAAATTAATTAGTTCGCTATATATAATTGTGAGATTTTTTTTTATACAACTTAGAATGGCAAACAAGCTGACGGCCCACCTGATGAAAACTGGTAACTGTCGCCTATAGACATGAGCAGTACCATGGACATAACAGAGTATACTGTTTCGCCCATGATACCCCCCATGCGTTGCTATTCCTGAGAACTCAGGTGTTATTCCTCTGTACCCAGTAAATTCACGCCATATCCCACCCTTCAAACCGAAACACAGCCATGCTGACACAACTGCTTCACGGTTGAAACACGAATGGGACAGAGGTACCCAAGCAATAGACTTTTGTACAAAGTCTCCCTCTGGTAAAAATAGTTTATTAGCAGTAATTTTTAAATTATATGATTTGCATATTGTACATAAGAAAAATCGTAACTTATGTATAAAAAAAAGTATTACGATGCATTATATTATTATAACTGTATCATTATAAATAATGGTTTTATTTACTTAACACATTAAACATAAGCATCCATGTTTTACGCTGTGGATAACTGTAATTGGCTAGCATTTAGTAAATGTGTAATATGTATTTAATCTTGTAAAACGCTATTGTTATATAAATATACTAAATAAATAAATAAACTAAATAAATCATCATCTTCCTATCCTTATCCCAATTATTATTTAGGGTCGGCGTAATATGGTTTTATCCATATCACAAAAAGATTTGTTTTTTTAGTTTTACGACCGGCCTCCTGCCTGACGTCAACCCTTTTTGCATTTGTTGGTGGTTTCCGTCACCTGCGGTATGGTAAATAAATAAACTAAATAAATAAATACAACGGCAACCCTATCGTGTTGGCGACCCGCCAAACTGTCTGGAAAAACAGGCAAAGTGCAATATTTACAATTTAAAAATGCTATCTCTCCTATATACACAGTTATTTTCTCAATTTGCAGTTGGCAACATCGTTAGAACACAATGGTTTTGTGCATATAGTCACGCTATAATGTGTTATAGTAAGACAGGCATTTCATTTTATCATTAACTGACCCAGTGTCATTTGTCCTTCCGTATAGTTAGTAAAAGTTCTTCTAGATAAAGTTATAAACGTGAAATTTAGTTCTGCCGTCTGGTTCTGTCATGGAATGTGCCACACCTTTCTTTCCCGTGAGTGCCGTAAGAGACGACTAAACAAACTCAATGGTCGAGGGATGGGCAGCAGTGCCCCTCTTAAAACTTCATCAAGGCCGAACTGCGGTTGCCAATCCGCCTACCAGTGGCGTAACAATAGGGTGGCAAGGCTGGCAAAATGCCACAGGCCCTCGACCCAAAAGGGCCCCGGCTCAAGAGGTCGTGAGCTCAGATTTTTTTACATTGTACCTGAGTATTTTATTTTTACTGATAAGGCCCCATCAGTGTGGGAATTTGCCGCAGGCCCCGATTGGTATAGTTACGCCACTGCCGCCTACTAAACGTGGCAATTACTGGCATAGCCCCCCATAGGGGGATATCTATGTTAAGCAGTGGACAGTTAGCACTTGGCGATGTGATGAATGTGAGTTTGATTATTCACTCTTGATGCCTTAAAAGCGTTCACAACTTTCGCCTATCTTACTATCACTTACTATTGTAACTTCGCAATTAGCTGTCAATTTTCAAAAATAATTTAATTTTTGACATCTACATCTGTAACAGAGCACTTTTTAAATATTCAATTAGAAACATTGAAATATGTTTAATTATTTTTGAAAAATACAATACGGAGATAGAACACCAAAATTATTACAAATGGCAATGCATGGTCCATGGGTTTTATAAGCCAATAGGTGTCAACTACAGGCAAAAAAAGAGAGTGTTTAATTAATGGTTGATTTGGTATGGCATTGCTCATGTCGATAGGCAACGGTTACCACTTTCCATCAAGTGGGCAGCTTCGTCTTTTTATGAATGAATGAATGAATGAATGAGTATACTTTATTTGCATTATACAATATAGGAAATAAACAAGACAATTTACAAACACAACGATACAATTGTATAAGTACGAGTACAGTAAGGCGGTCTTATTGCTGAGAGCAATCTTTTCGAGACAACCTTAAGGTAATGGACTAATTGTTGTATAAGTAGGTATAATAAGACTGTATAATTAAACAAGCATCTTTTGCATATTAAAAATATATAAAAATTATATACATATATACACACACACATATATACATACATACATATACATATATACATATACATACATATATACACACACACATGCATATACATATCAATCAAACAAAATTATATAATCCCATGTATATGTGTCAAATATGTACTCAATACTAGGAAATATATTAATAACTAGCTGACGAGTCGATTCTTTAATTTTTTAGTTTTTTTAAAACTGTTATTCGGGACGCCGGGTCGGCTAAATTTATACGACGCTAACGTCACTTAATTGTTTTTCTTCCCGAAACCTCTCCTAAACTAACACTTGAACTATATGGTATGGCATTATGTTTAAATTTTAAATTTAAAAAATTACAATTAGATTACGAATGAAGTTTCTAATGAAAACTAGTATATAAGTGAAACAAAACATTTACTGCAGATATAAAAAGCTTTGTACCAGTAAATACAAGACAATCTAAAACAAAACGTTAAAGTACTCACTTAGATCCACTACGCTTTGTCATCCGACCACTATTGTTTGTAATCCTACACTGTAAGAACATTCCGGACGCAACCTAATCTATGGTAACCTGGTAACTACATCTCGTACTATTCAGTATCCAATAACGAGATGTTTATTTATTTATTTATTCTTTAGTACAATTCATATGTAGAGGGGGGAAAGGGATTGTTAGTAATGGAGACTGAGAATTCCATTGCTAGCAATATACCCAACCAGGTCGATCTCCTCGCGGTTCTCCCTGGAAACTATCATGGTTAATTCCTGATGAATTTATCATGATGGACTAACTGGCCTGTTTTCATTCTTATCTATCACCCTTCACTGGTACTCCGCCAGCGTATCCCATTAGCGCAGGCAGGGTTACCATAACATTTTCACCCATAAAAAATCATATGTAGATATGTACATATGTACATGAAAGAGGCAAAATGTATGTATGTATATAACTATATATATTATAAGTAGTGTTTATGTGTTATATGTGTATTTCTTATGTATTATTATGTATAATTACTTCAGTATGTTGCTATAAATATGTCACATGTTTTTCACCACATTTGCCCTTCATACGCTTTCTGTTTTTACTTAACAGCTGGTAGCTGGCAAAGAATGCCATATGGCACTAAGCTAGCTACTTATACAAAGTGTTATTGTGCAATAAAGAATAATATAAAAAATAAATAATTAAAATGCTGGGCCACCTCATAGGACATGGCAAATTTTAAAGAACAAACTAGAAAGAAAATTAGAAAGTAAAAGAGGAAGGGGAACTAGTTTCATGATCATCCTTAATCTTGAGCGGCTGTGATGGGATTGGGTTATATCCTTCCTTAACATATAGGATATTTTATGCACTAACTAACTTTTACCCACGAATTCGTTCACGTAACCGGGACATATTCAATATTCGGGATGAAAATAGTATATGTCCTTCTCCATCTGCATACCAGATTTCATAGTAAATATAAAATAACAAACTGACTTTTTTTATACAACTTAGAATGGCAAACAAGCTGACGGCCCACCTGATGAAAAGTGGTAACCGTCGCCTATAGACATGAGCAGTACTATGGACATAACAGAGTATACTGTTTCGTCCATGATACCCCCTATGCGTTGTCACTCCTGAGGACTCAGGTGTTATTCCTCTGTACCCAGGACGAAGGAAAACAGTTAGATGAAGGGAAAGGATTATTAGTA